CGGAGGAGAGAGCAGGGGTGTATAAGATTCCTTATGAAAACTTACAACTGGACGTTAAAAAAGATTATATCGGCGTCACCACCAGAAGCTTGGGAGTAAGGCTCAAGGAACATAGATATGCCATAAGAAAAGCGTCTAATTCAACGGTTTTGTCACAAATGGCGCAAGCACAAGGATCTGAGGTGAAATGGGACGAGGCAACAATCATCAAACCTCTGTCTTCCCCAACTCTAGCAATGACGGCAGAAAAAATAGAAATATACAGAAGTAAGATAAGAGAAGGCTGTTTAAATGCGAGGGATTCCGAGAGCCTACCTTCGGCATGGAAATATTTGGTTAAGAAATTTACTACAAACTCCGACCAGAATTAATACATTGAAGATTTATGTTATTTTTGTTTTATTGTTTTATTTTAATTTTTAAATATTCTTCCGTTATTTTTTCTCTTGTAAAATTTTTGATTTAAATTTTTATGTTCTATTCATGGAACATTTACGTTCCGTTTTAGTTTTCAACCTGAAGATGGCCTATTAATTAGGCTGAAAACGTTTGTTGTTTAAAAATTATGTTTATTTCTCGGCAAAAAAGGTGTTTTGTTTATCTTGAAGATGACTAGATTGAACTTTATTGATTCTTTATTACTTATAGATGTTTGCATTTAATTATGTGTATTTAAAATTAGATAACTAACATATTATAAAATTCTAAACATCAAGTTATAAAAAGCCTTAGAAGTTAAGCCTATAAGAAAGAGCTGCTGTATCTATTTCCAATGTTAATTTAAATAACATTATGTTAAGTGTAGCGATAACTGAACATACTTTATACTATACAGAAATGTTTTTACTAAGAAAATTTTCTAGAGGAAGACAAGTTATTAATAATCATCCATCATACTAACACTACTGGTGTGAGAATTAACAAAATAACTACGAAATTACCAACAAACGTTGAAGACGGTAGAAAACGTTCGTTTTTGAAGTGAATTTTTGCTGGTTTGTTGGTAATTTCGTAGTTATTTTGACAAGTTATTAAACACTAAAGCAACAGTTTATACAAAAATATCCAAAATTATCTCTGTATATGAAGGTTTATCTTTATGAACTTTTTAATAAGTAACAGTCCATGGAGTCTGTAAAGAGGAGAAATGTCAAACAGAAGTTATTCAAGACATTCAGGCTTCATTAGAAATAAGTTCCATAAAATCTTCTAATTGCTTAAGCTCAGCAGCAACATCTTATATTTCTGCTCATATAGCTACAAAAAAAATCAAATTTTGATCTTATAAAGTAAGAATCATCCAAACAAATATTTACTGTGGATTCAAATGTTCAAGATTTAAGCACTTCTAATAATGTGTACTAGAGCAATAACAAGCATAGTTGGCTGATGGTGCCAACAACTGACTCACAATGCTGCCAAACTGTTTGTTCTACTTATCACAAGTAAACTTTTTGTTTACTGACTCAGTATAAAATTTGAAAAACAGATTCAGACAAACACTTACATTACTTATGTCAAAATAAACATCAAGTCAATTTAGCTTGAACTGCTTTAGAAAATAAAATGCTAATTAGATTAACATTAAACCAAACACTTACGTGTAGGCTTTAATGATCTATATTTGGGCTAATTTAATTAACAAACTATACAGTTTGCCTAAACAGATGCTTAGACTAACTGTGCTGGGTGAATACAATTATTCGATGTTATAATCTGTTTTAAAAAGCCAAACAAATATAACATTTACCATAAGAAAAATGAAATAATCTGGTAGATTTTGCTATTGTAGAAATATCCCTTAACCTATTCGATGTTGAAATTTTTATTTGTTGCCTGTGATGCAATGTTGAATTTTCATCGATGTTAAGCCTAAATTTTTTTTTTTAAATAATAATCGTGTTTATTGTATCATAAAAAATTATTTTTTTATGTTTCACAAACAAAATATATATATTGAATAATATAAAAATGAAAAAAATTTTATTTTAAAAGTTTGTTTTAATATAAAAATTGTGACGCAAAGCGGCATCTAGTATCAAAAACGTTCCAATGTAAACACGGAAATATTTGGGATTGCCCACGAAGGTCAATGAGGTCAACCCGAAAATTTTCAGGATCAACGTAGGACAGCTTAAATCATGTTGTAAAAATATTTGTAAAGAAAATTTAGTTCCTTCTTATAATAAATAGAAACAACTAAAAGACATTTAATAGTGCTTATATTTTTTAAAATTATGATTTCTTTAATAACAGTTATAATAAAAAATTTGATAATGGAATATCTTTTAAAGTTAAAAACTGTATACAAAATTCTGAATTTCAAAGTATCTTCAAGCCTTACAATCCCAAATTTCATTTGTTTTTTTCTATCAGAACTAGATGCATAGACAGACACTGGGCATTTTTGATATCAATCTTTATTCAGGAATATTTTGTGGGCCAAGACGTGTTTCAGGCATACGCCCCTCTTCTATTGGCTAAATCACAGTTTATTCTCTTGTAGAGAATAAACTGTGTAGTCTTGTAGAGAATAAACTTGTAGAGTCCTGTTTAAAGATGACTAGTCCAGTCATCTTTAAACAGGACTTTAACCCCAAGGTTTTTCCATTACCACAAAGTTTCATAATGGACTCTAAAAGTCAGCTGTTCTTTGCCTCAATTACTTTAAATGGAATTATATTAAAAACCCGATAACTGATATCTGATCATCTGATTTAAAAGCAGATGCAGTTTTGAATGCTAATATTTATTGCAATTCTTGAATGATGGCCAAAAATATTGAAGGGTTACAACATTAGTGGCATTTATACAGATGGTTTTAAGTGGTAGTCTCAAATTGTTCAGATATTATTTGATTTTTCCTGGCTTTTATTAAAAAATTTCAGAAAATAATGTTTTTTCCATTTAAAGCTAAAAAAAGTTTTTTTTTTGAAAATCTGAAACTTATGTAGAGATTTGTAGTAGACTTTTACACAGTTCACTACAAACCTCTTTGATAGAGGACAGTCTTTTGTGTGAACAACAATGTTAGTAAGTTCAGTTTAAATGTGATTGAAGTAAATATTATTTGAATGATAAGCAGTATGTGACAATAAATAGTGTGATTAGTTCTATTAAAATCACGATAACTGATATCTGATCATCTGACAATTAATCTGAATAATATTTGATGAGACAATAAGCACACAATTTGATTTATTTGCTATTTTTTTTAAGATTCTGATATAGTTTACATGTATATATTTCTTGCATTAATATATTTTACAAATACATATAAAATAAACAACTTACTTTGGATTTCTTTTATCTGGTCTTACTACAGCGCTAAACTGATCTTCTTCATCTCCATTTTCAGCAGATAAACGTGCTTGGTACAAAGGACTTGACTGAATTTCTTGAGCTATTCTAAGAGCTTCAGCTTCTTTTTGCTTATATTCGTCAGTATTTTTATGTTCAAGTTTGACACTAATTTAAAAAAATATGTTTATGTGTAGAAACATATCTAAAACATAAATACTAAGACAAACATTATAAGCTTTAATAAACAGACTTTTATTCAAAATTTAAGTCTAATAATGGTAAATTTAAAAAATTTAATACAAGTGCAGAAATAAAGATATACTACAGTACCCTCCACATGTCAAATGAAACTCAAAAAACAAATTAATACTTTCCCTGAGAAAAATCATTAAAATTCAAACACTTTTAAGGCTTGCTGGCTCATCTTTCAGGCATAAATAAATAAAAAAAATCCAAATGAAATTAACTGTTTTAATTTATTTAGAGTGTGTTTCAAATATTGTATATAGCAGATGCCACTTATTGTAATCACTTTTGGACATGCCTATACTGATGACAATAGCCAACTAGGGCAAAGAGAATAACTTTTTTAAATCTGTATACCAAATTTGGCATTATTTAACTTTCGAAAAAACATGCACCTGCCAAAACTTTACAGTTTGAGTAACTTTGAAAAAAGTGTGAACACATTTTAATATTTAAAATTAAAAAAAAAAGTTTGAGAATAGGTTGATTATAAATCAAATTAAATATAAAACCAGAATTAAAATTGAAAATCACAGTAAAAAATCAAATATGTTGTAAGCCAGATGAATTCTTTGTTACCCATTTTAGACACATGTGCCATAGGTTTGCCACCTCTGGTCTAGTGTTTTTCTGATATAAGAATTTCTGGAAACTTTAATAAATTTCTTTCAATTTAAATATAATACAGGCACTGCCCACAGAGAGTCTTCCTGGTTAATGGTTTCCCTAGAATACTATTTGATTTTTACTATCCCAAACTGCATAAATGTACATCTGTGTCAATACAAAGTTCGACAAGAAAAATTTTATACTGAAAATGAAGCCATTTCTTTGAGTTAATTCGCTATGTCCTCATTATTGAGTGTTTGATAAGTCCAGAATAATAATAGTCCATTGGTAGACTGAAAACATTTTATGAAAAATTTCTTTTTTTTAAATATAACATTTTTTAACAAATGGTGAAAAAGGATTTTTGAGTTACATTCCAAAACACCAATCAGCAAAATATCAGAATTAGGATGCAACTATGCAGACGCAAGTGAGAATATGTGGCAAGAAGAGGTTATGACGTTTCACGCTCTTTCTTTCTCACTCTCATTCATTATGACCACACAGACAAGAGCAAGAAACAGAGAGCATGAAACATCACCTCTTCTCGCCACATATTCTCACTCGCATCTCCATAGTTGTACCCTTACACAGACATTCTGAATACATTATATTTTTTCTCCTTTTTAAAATAATGAAAAATTTGCATCTAAATAGTTTTTGTGAAAACATTTAATTTTTAGGAATAATTTAATTTTAGATTACTGGCATTGAAAGGAGAATAAGAATGTACAACAATATCATTATATGATTAATATAACAATAGACATATTTTATTATATTCATTCTCTGCAACTCAGTTTAATTATCCTCCTCTTCTGGCAGTTTGTTACTTAAACATTTTATTTGCATTTGATATGTTAATTTTCAAATACTTTTTTGCTACATGAAATTAATAATTATAAACAAACAACTTTCAGACATTGAATGATTAGTTCCTGCATGACAACTATCAACATCTGCAAAGCTCAACACCAATCAGCTCTTTTGCAGAACCTATGTTCATGCAATTAAATTAATATGCCTCAATGTCCTTAATTTATTCAAATATTATTTCAATCACCAGTACAGTGTGTATTTCTATTAATAGGACATATTAAACTGGTATTTAAGATTACTGCAAATCAGTCACACAGATTAAAATTGTTTTATTTACATTTACAGGAAATGTGATTGAAATAATATTTGACTATGTTCGTGCATTTCAGGCTTTATCTTTAGTAGCTGCAATAATAGAATTTTGGAGATCTGGATGATCAAAATTAAGTATACCACAGAAAAATTGGTTCTTCTGTGGTATACTCAAACTTAATGAAACTCAAGAAAAAAAATTCAAGGGTGTAACAAGAATTATAACAATATCTGTGACTATAATCAACAGATTATATACTAATAAATTATAAAATACAACAGTACTATAATTAATATGTGGGTTGGAAATTTAATAGTGGCAACAGTGCTGTAGAAACCCAATGCAATGCAACCAGCTAATGCAGCTAAGCCTCACTACTACATTTTTGCAAATATTATGACTGATATTCTCAAAATTGACTGATGGGTGATAGCAATAGGCTCTTGTTACTGTGCAGGTACTGCACATGGAGTTGGACAGTAAAGTCCATGTACAGTACCGGTACAGTAACAAGAGCCTACTGCTATCACCCATCAGTCAATTTTGAGAATATCAGTCATAATATTTGCAAAAATGGAGTAGTGAAATAGGATAAAGATTGAAAGTAGCAGGGGTCATACTGCACAACAGCATCACTAAGGACTCTTAGAGGTTTATGACAAATCTGATTACCATGTAGAACAATAACAAGGTGGTTAAACCTTCAACAGAGACGAATTGTGGAAGATAAGCCTTGTCCAGGTCATCCCCATACAAGTGAAGAACAGGTAAATGCTATTTACATATTACTGGATACAAACAGATCAGCTCCAAATGATTTGTGAGTTAGCCCAAGAGACGTGTTTTCACATACAACAGTGCAAGACATTGTGAAGAAACAGTTGGGAATGAGGAAAATTTCATCATGATGGGTTCCACATCCTCTGACTGAAATGCAGAAATGGCAATAATATGACTGTGTGTATCCACTTGAGCACTACAAGTGTGAGGGAGAGGTTTCTTACGCAATCATTATGCTGGATGAGACACAGAAAAGATCAAACAAGCCAGAACTGAAACAGCAATCAAATGAGTGGCAACATCATAGATCACCATAAAATTCTAAACTTTGTCAGAACTCCAGTAAGATGAAAGCTATCTATGGTTATTCTCGTGTATGATTGCAATGGTGTTGTTTTGATGTATACCATACCCAGACCAGACTGTAAATTACTATACATTTTTGGAACACAATCTGTGGCCAACTTTGGAGGGAAAAAAAAAAAACAGCAGAAACACTTTCTGCAGAACCCATCCCTCATCTTGCATGACAATGCTCGAGCACATGTTGTACAATGTGTGGCCACATTGTTCGGTTGCTGGGGCTGGGAAGTTCTCTACCATCCATCATATTCTCCCTAAAATGATGAAACCACTTCATTGGAGGACAGTTCAAAACTATTTCAGATATTCTTCAGGAAGTAAACCACTCTATTTGGGCAATCAACCAAACAGGCTCTACCGATGGCATCCTGCAACTTCCACATTGCTGGCAACAGCTTACACACTGCTGGTGACTACATTGAAGGACAGTAAAAATCTGAAACATTTATGTTTTTTTTGTACGGATTGTAATTAAAGCATTGCTAGTATTAAAATTCCAACCCTCGCATATAAATCAGACTGGTTGATTGTTACGTATGTTTAAGAATATTTAACATTTGAATTTTCTTACTAAAATCACATTAGTAAAAATACTTACGTATATCCCTGAAGACTGTTGTCATAAGAAGAAACCACTCCATATTTTTCAGCATTTGTTTTAAACATATCATTTACATCCCATCCATTCTAAAATAAAATAAAAATAATTATGAATAAGAAAATAGTTTATTTTTTATATATAAATGAAAGAATTCCTTAATGTATGCTATGAAGTATACTGGACAGGGGGTATACAGAATTCTTCTCCCTATTCACAGCATATGTAGAGAAGTGGATGGAATGGCCAACCATGAATTAATATTCAATATCTCTGAATAACTCTTTCCAGACACCTGTAGAAAGGAGTGGACCGCAGACATGCAAAAAAGGTGACAAGTTGTCACGAAGATTTGATCCCAACTTGCCTATTTAATAGTCTATTAATATTAGGCCATCAACTGCTCATAAACTTGCATTTACCATATATGTATAGTAAATACATAGATTATAAATAGAAATTATACAGTAATACCTAACTTAATGCAACTTCATTCAGTGTGAGATTCACTATAATATAGTTTATAATATGCACCAAAGAATCCAATTAATGAGCAATAATTTTTGTATTTCATTCTGGACAAATGTACTTGAACCTTGCTGCAACAATTCATTTAGAAACTGTTTGATCATCCTCTGTATGGTCTAGATTTGGCACCTAGTAATTTTCATATACATGAAGAAATGACTTGTCTCACAGCACTTCAATGATGATGAATAGCTGTAGCCAGTAGTCATGACTTATATTGGTAGCAGAACACTATGAAGATGGTATACAAAAGATTGTTAAATGCTAGACAAGTGTCTCAATTTGGCTGGACACTATTTGAAAAATAGTCAAAGATTGTACTTTTCAGCTGTATATAATAAACTTTATCTAATTTTATTGATGATGTTTCAATAAGCAAAAGATACTTTCTGAATTGCCTTCATATCTGAAGATGTTTTCAGTATGTCAGGTTAGTTGAATGTTTTTTCCTTTGTTTTAAACTCCATCAAAGCAATTATTTAATCTCTTCTACTTTTTGGTAGCACACTCCTCTGTTTTTACTATTAATAATGTTAAGAAAAATTATCAATTTAACATGTCGGCTATTAAATTAAAGATTTTTCATAAATAAATATAACTGGATTAAATGATCATTTAGTTTCTTCCAAAATATGGATTTATTTTGGATCATCTTGTAATAATTTTTTCAGATTTTCTTTGTAATAGGAAAAAGATAACAAATTCAGATANAGTTTTTACACTTCTATAATATCATCTTCAAGTGCAAGAAGAGACTCAGTACATTAAGTATTCTTACCAAAGAAATAGAACAAATTTCAATATTCTTAACAATTTTTTAAAATGTAGAATAAATGAACATCAGTCGCATGGTCCATATCATTTAGTATTACAGAAAGTCATCATATAAGCCTATCTCTAAAAAATAAGCATTGCATACGATATAAAATCATCATCATTTTCCTGCATCAGTCGTTTTTTTTCCCAAGTCCTGCCAAAAACGACAAATCGAGAAACCACTGTATTTATATACTTTATTTATAGTAGACATCAAATGAGTTTGTGCAAAAGAAATAACCACCCTCAAATAGTAACTAGAGAAAATATGCAGTTTAAAATGGTAGCTGTGGCTATTACTCAAATAAAACCAGTATATATAAATTTACTTAATTATAGATCATCATCTAATTTAAAATTAGTAAAGAGAAATACATACATATAGTTATTGTGCAGTTTCTGTCATATGTAGTTAATAACCATTTGATTTTTGTACTGTATTTTCTATATTTAAAGATTGCACTCATACACAAGATGCTTTAAAAAATGTTAACACTTATATGGAGAAGGTGTGCAGTTGTTGCAGCAGGGGTAGTAGATCCATACTTTTTGGAGAACTCAGCAATGACGTTGTGACTTCTTGTACGTGACGGAGAACTAAATAGATGACAATTTACCACTACAAATCTGGCGTAACAAATTACTTCCATATTGGTGTTAACATTTTTTATTTTTGAAGTACACTCCATATATTCATTAAGACTCAAATATAGGAACAAGTGGCACATCCTAGCATTCATACCTAGTCATTTTACAATCCTAATACTTTTAATGTATAATAAGTTACATCAAAAAATTTACTAAAATAACTATCATTGATTCTTTTTACCTCTATGTCTTACTTTTATAAATTTTTGTGTGTATTCTTGTCTATTTGGATTGTTGTTTATTAATAGGACTTATTATATTGGTGTAGTTGTAGTTACAGATAAAAATAAAAATATTTTGTTTTGACTAAGATCTCTATTTGCTAATCAGAAACTACACCAGTATAAAAAGTCCTATTAATAAACAAGATCCAAGTGGACAAGGATACACACACAAACTATATCATCAAGTTTACTAATAGTTTACAAAAATGCTATTGGTCAGAGATTCACAGAAAAAGTTATCATTAGCGGACAACTACAAAGATTTTAGTCTCTATCCTTTATATTAACTGAGCATAAAGTAACTCCTAAAAAATCTCTTTATATAAGCCACAAAAAGTTCACCAAAGGAGACTAAAATACACACAGTAAAAATCAAATTAATTAGATAAAACTGTTGTTATTTCTATTGAAATCTGATAAATCTTTGTAGCATTTTCTTCTACTATAATTACAAAAGTCACATTACTATTCTTTTCATAAATATTTGATGACTACTTTTTCATTTAATGCTTATTTAATGATTCTTTATTTCAATTATATAAAATATACCTTACCTTTAGTTGCATAATCAAGATCAATATTTATTGCACTTAACATAACAATGTCGTGAAGTTTAAAAATGAGTTTTTCTGTGATCAGATCTTCAGTCATCAAAGGTAAGATGGTTCCATTGAATAAACAAGATGCTGCCTGATTGTTATCAATTAAACGAGCCATCTCTAATACAACATCCATCTATAAAAGAATTTTAATGATTAATAAAACAAAAAATATAAAATTTACAATCTTATTTCAAAANACATCTAGTATCAAAAACGTTCCAATGTAAACACGGAAATATTTGGGATTGCCCACGAAGGTCAATGAGGTCAACCCGAAAATTTTCAGGATCAACGTAGGACAGCTTAAATCATGTTGTAAAAATATTTGTAAAGAAAATTTAGTTCCTTCTTATAATAAATAGAAACAACTAAAAGACATTTAATAGTGCTTATATTTTTTAAAATTATGATTTCTTTAATAACAGTTATAATAAAAAATTTGATAATGGAATATCTTTTAAAGTTAAAAACTGTATACAAAATTCTGAATTTCAAAGTATCTTCAAGCCTTACAATCCCAAATTTCATTTGTTTTTTTCTATCAGAACTAGATGCATAGACAGACACTGGGCATTTTTGATATCAATCTTTATTCAGGAATATTTTGTGGGCCAAGACGTGTTTCAGGCATACGCCCCTCTTCTATTGGCTAAATCACAGTTTATTCTCTTGTAGAGAATAAACTGTGTAGTCTTGTAGAGAATAAACTTGTAGAGTCCTGTTTAAAGATGACTAGTCCAGTCATCTTTAAACAGGACTTTAACCCCAAGGTTTTTCCATTACCACAAAGTTTCATAATGGACTCTAAAAGTCAGCTGTTCTTTGCCTCAATTACTTTAAATGGAATTATATTAAAAACCCGATAACTGATATCTGATCATCTGATTTAAAAGCAGATGCAGTTTTGAATGCTAATATTTATTGCAATTCTTGAATGATGGCCAAAAATATTGAAGGGTTACAACATTAGTGGCATTTATACAGATGGTTTTAAGTGGTAGTCTCAAATTGTTCAGATATTATTTGATTTTTCCTGGCTTTTATTAAAAAATTTCAGAAAATAATGTTTTTTCCATTTAAAGCTAAAAAAAGTTTTTTTTTTGAAAATCTGAAACTTATGTAGAGATTTGTAGTAGACTTTTACACAGTTCACTACAAACCTCTTTGATAGAGGACAGTCTTTTGTGTGAACAACAATGTTAGTAAGTTCAGTTTAAATGTGATTGAAGTAAATATTATTTGAATGATAAGCAGTATGTGACAATAAATAGTGTGATTAGTTCTATTAAAATCACGATAACTGATATCTGATCATCTGACAATTAATCTGAATAATATTTGATGAGACAATAAGCACACAATTTGATTTATTTGCTATTTTTTTTAAGATTCTGATATAGTTTACATGTATATATTTCTTGCATTAATATATTTTACAAATACATATAAAATAAACAACTTACTTTGGATTTCTTTTATCTGGTCTTACTACAGCGCTAAACTGATCTTCTTCATCTCCATTTTCAGCAGATAAACGTGCTTGGTACAAAGGACTTGACTGAATTTCTTGAGCTATTCTAAGAGCTTCAGCTTCTTTTTGCTTATATTCGTCAGTATTTTTATGTTCAAGTTTGACACTAATTTAAAAAAATATGTTTATGTGTAGAAACATATCTAAAACATAAATACTAAGACAAACATTATAAGCTTTAATAAACAGACTTTTATTCAAAATTTAAGTCTAATAATGGTAAATTTAAAAAATTTAATACAAGTGCAGAAATAAAGATATACTACAGTACCCTCCACATGTCAAATGAAACTCAAAAAACAAATTAATACTTTCCCTGAGAAAAATCATTAAAATTCAAACACTTTTAAGGCTTGCTGGCTCATCTTTCAGGCATAAATAAATAAAAAAAATCCAAATGAAATTAACTGTTTTAATTTATTTAGAGTGTGTTTCAAATATTGTATATAGCAGATGCCACTTATTGTAATCACTTTTGGACATGCCTATACTGATGACAATAGCCAACTAGGGCAAAGAGAATAACTTTTTTAAATCTGTATACCAAATTTGGCATTATTTAACTTTCGAAAAAACATGCACCTGCCAAAACTTTACAGTTTGAGTAACTTTGAAAAAAGTGTGAACACATTTTAATATTTAAAATTAAAAAAAAAAGTTTGAGAATAGGTTGATTATAAATCAAATTAAATATAAAACCAGAATTAAAATTGAAAATCACAGTAAAAAATCAAATATGTTGTAAGCCAGATGAATTCTTTGTTACCCATTTTAGACACATGTGCCATAGGTTTGCCACCTCTGGTCTAGTGTTTTTCTGATATAAGAATTTCTGGAAACTTTAATAAATTTCTTTCAATTTAAATATAATACAGGCACTGCCCACAGAGAGTCTTCCTGGTTAATGGTTTCCCTAGAATACTATTTGATTTTTACTATCCCAAACTGCATAAATGTACATCTGTGTCAATACAAAGTTCGACAAGAAAAATTTTATACTGAAAATGAAGCCATTTCTTTGAGTTAATTCGCTATGTCCTCATTATTGAGTGTTTGATAAGTCCAGAATAATAATAGTCCATTGGTAGACTGAAAACATTTTATGAAAAATTTCTTTTTTTTAAATATAACATTTTTTAACAAATGGTGAAAAAGGATTTTTGAGTTACATTCCAAAACACCAATCAGCAAAATATCAGAATTAGGATGCAACTATGCAGACGCAAGTGAGAATATGTGGCAAGAAGAGGTTATGACGTTTCACGCTCTTTCTTTCTCACTCTCATTCATTATGACCACACAGACAAGAGCAAGAAACAGAGAGCATGAAACATCACCTCTTCTCGCCACATATTCTCACTCGCATCTCCATAGTTGTACCCTTACACAGACATTCTGAATACATTATATTTTTTCTCCTTTTTAAAATAATGAAAAATTTGCATCTAAATAGTTTTTGTGAAAACATTTAATTTTTAGGAATAATTTAATTTTAGATTACTGGCATTGAAAGGAGAATAAGAATGTACAACAATATCATTATATGATTAATATAACAATAGACATATTTTATTATATTCATTCTCTGCAACTCAGTTTAATTATCCTCCTCTTCTGGCAGTTTGTTACTTAAACATTTTATTTGCATTTGATATGTTAATTTTCAAATACTTTTTTGCTACATGAAATTAATAATTATAAACAAACAACTTTCAGACATTGAATGATTAGTTCCTGCATGACAACTATCAACATCTGCAAAGCTCAACACCAATCAGCTCTTTTGCAGAACCTATGTTCATGCAATTAAATTAATATGCCTCAATGTCCTTAATTTATTCAAATATTATTTCAATCACCAGTACAGTGTGTATTTCTATTAATAGGACATATTAAACTGGTATTTAAGATTACTGCAAATCAGTCACACAGATTAAAATTGTTTTATTTACATTTACAGGAAATGTGATTGAAATAATATTTGACTATGTTCGTGCATTTCAGGCTTTATCTTTAGTAGCTGCAATAATAGAATTTTGGAGATCTGGATGATCAAAATTAAGTATACCACAGAAAAATTGGTTCTTCTGTGGTATACTCAAACTTAATGAAACTCAAGAAAAAAAATTCAAGGGTGTAACAAGAATTATAACAATATCTGTGACTATAATCAACAGATTATATACTAATAAATTATAAAATACAACAGTACTATAATTAATATGTGGGTTGGAAATTTAATAGTGGCAACAGTGCTGTAGAAACCCAATGCAATGCAACCAGCTAATGCAGCTAAGCCTCACTACTACATTTTTGCAAATATTATGACTGATATTCTCAAAATTGACTGATGGGTGATAGCAATAGGCTCTTGTTACTGTGCAGGTACTGCACATGGAGTTGGACAGTAAAGTCCATGTACAGTACCGGTACAGTAACAAGAGCCTACTGCTATCACCCATCAGTCAATTTTGAGAATATCAGTCATAATATTTGCAAAAATGGAGTAGTGAAATAGGATAAAGATTGAAAGTAGCAGGGGTCATACTGCACAACAGCATCACTAAGGACTCTTAGAGGTTTATGACAAATCTGATTACCATGTAGAACAATAACAAGGTGGTTAAACCTTCAACAGAGACGAATTGTGGAAGATAAGCCTTGTCCAGGTCATCCCCATACAAGTGAAGAACAGGTAAATGCTATTTACATATTACTGGATACAAACAGATCAGCTCCAAATGATTTGTGAGTTAGCCCAAGAGACGTGTTTTCACATACAACAGTGCAAGACATTGTGAAGAAACAGTTGGGAATGAGGAAAATTTCATCATGATGGGTTCCACATCCTCTGACTGAAATGCAGAAATGGCAATAATATGACTGTGTGTATCCACTTGAGCACTACAAGTGTGAGGGAGAGGTTTCTTACGCAATCATTATGCTGGATGAGACACAGAAAAGATCAAACAAGCCAGAACTGAAACAGCAATCAAATGAGTGGCAACATCATAGATCACCATAAAATTCTAAACTTTGTCAGAACTCCAGTAAGATGAAAGCTATCTATGGTTATTCTCGTGTATGATTGCAATGGTGTTGTTTTGATGTATACCATACCCAGACCAGACTGTAAATTACTATACATTTTTGGAACACAATCTGTGGCCAACTTTGGAGGGAAAAAAAAAAAACAGCAGAAACACTTTCTGCAGAACCCATCCCTCATCTTGCATGACAATGCTCGAGCACATGTTGTACAATGTGTGGCCACATTGTTCGGTTGCTGGGGCTGGGAAGTTCTCTACCATCCATCATATTCTCCCTAAAATGATGAAACCACTTCATTGGAGGACAGTTCAAAACTATTTCAGATATTCTTCAGGAAGTAAACCACTCTATTTGGGCAATCAACCAAACAGGCTCTACCGATGGCATCCTGCAACTTCCACATTGCTGGCAACAGCTTACACACTGCTGGTGACTACATTGAAGGACAGTAAAAATCTGAAACATTTATGTTTTTTTTGTACGGATTGTAATTAAAGCATTGCTAGTATTAAAATTCCAACCCTCGCATATAAATCAGACTGGTTGATTGTTACGTATGTTTAAGAATATTTAACATTTGAATTTTCTTACTAAAATCACATTAGTAAAAATACTTACGTATATCCCTGAAGACTGTTGTCATAAGAAGAAACCACTCCATATTTTTCAGCATTTGTTTTAAACATATCATTTACATCCCATCCATTCTAAAATAAAATAAAAATAATTATGAATAAGAAAATAGTTTATTTTTTATATATAAATGAAAGAATTCCTTAATGTATGCTATGAAGTATACTGGACAGGGGGTATACAGAATTCTTCTCCCTATTCACAGCATATGTAGAGAAGTGGATGGAATGGCCAACCATGAATTAATATTCAATATCTCTGAATAACTCTTTCCAGACACCTGTAGAAAGGAGTGGACCGCAGACATGCAAAAAAGGTGACAAGTTGTCACGAAGATTTGATCCCAACTTGCCTATTTAATAGTCTATTAATATTAGGCCATCAACTGCTCATAAACTTGCATTTACCATATATGTATAGTAAATACATAGATTATAAATAGAAATTATACAGTAATACCTAACTTAATGCAACTTCATTCAGTGTGAGATTCACTATAATATAGTTTATAATATGCACCAAAGAATCCAATTAATGAGCAATAATTTTTGTATTTCATTCTGGACAAATGTACTTGAACCTTGCTGCAACAATTCATTTAGAAACTGTTTGATCATCCTCTGTATGGTCTAGATTTGGCACCTAGTAATTTTCATATACATGAAGAAATGACTTGTCTCACAGCACTTCAATGATGATGAATAGCTGTAGCCAGTAGTCATGACTTATATTGGTAGCAGAACACTATGAAGATGGTATACAAAAGATTGTTAAATGCTAGACAAGTGTCTCAATTTGGCTGGACACTATTTGAAAAATAGTCAAAGATTGTACTTTTCAGCTGTATATAATAAACTTTATCTAATTTTATTGATGATGTTTCAATAAGCAAAAGATACTTTCTGAATTGCCTTCATATCTGAAGATGTTTTCAGTATGTCAGGTTAGTTGAATGTTTTTTCCTTTGTTTTAAACTCCATCAAAGCAATTATTTAATCTCTTCTACTTTTTGGTAGCACACTCCTCTGTTTTTACTATTAATAATGTTAAGAAAAATTATCAATTTAACATGTCGGCTATTAAATTAAAGATTTTTCATAAATAAATATAACTGGATTAAATGATCATTTAGTTTCTTCCAAAATATGGATTTATTTTGGATCATCTTGTAATAATTTTTTCAGATTTTCTTTGTAATAGGAAAAAGATAACAAATTCAGATAACATACAAGTAATGTATAAGTAATGATAATGTACAACTTACATTATCCTCATTTTCTCCTTCCAAACTTGATAATTTATCTACATTATTGTTTGCTCCATGCCAAGGCTCTAATTCTTTTTCTGTGATTTGGCCATTAAATTTACTGATAGCAACATCAGTAAAATTATCTTTAAAAAATAATGAAATTAAAACTGATTAAAATCATGACTTAAAACATTGAAAATTAGAACTAATGTAAGTTTTAGTATATTAAGTTAAAAATGATTAATTCCTGTAACAGGGGTGGGCAACCCTTGATACATGTACCAAATGAAGCATGTAGACTTTTTTTGGCATGCAACCCAGGACTCTCCTCACAAAATAAATATCCAATATCTTTGTGAGTTGTATATTTTAACTTAATAGAGTACAATTTTATTTAGTAGAGTGAATACTACACAAAAATGCAACAAACATCCTATTTCCAAGACATCCATCTCTGCAATACAGTTGGTTATTTAGCGTAAAATTCACTAAACCTAGCTTTCCTGTAGCATCACGTAGCCGCTAGACCAAATAATAATATGCTCCCAAAAATTCAGTTGGCATGTAAGAAAATTTTGCATCATAGATTTGGTGATTTTGATACATGCACTTAAAATGGTTGCCCACCTTTAAGTTCTATTTTATAAAAAAAAAATACCAGTTTTATTTGAATATAGACACTGCATACCATCCCTAAAATTTTAAGTAATAACTATCCTCAAATAGTAACCTTGTCTACTATTCGAAGATTTCTGAAAACTTACAAAAACAATATAAAATTAATAAGTATTGTTAACTACAGTATATTTATTTAACAAACAATATTTATTATTTAATAAACAAATAAAAAATATGAAATGCATAATATTCAGTAAGCATACATTTTAATTATTTTCTTATCACTAGTGTAGTAATAGTCATCATACAGAAAGATCCAAGTTACCATTTTAAGTAAAATTTCTTTTTAAAATATTTAAAAATATAAACATAGTGGATTCTCGATCTATCACTCCTGCATCTATTGGTTGTTTTCTCCAGTCCCTAATAAAGACTCATATATAATGTTAATTTTTCCCGTATTCTTTGTTCCCACAATGTTCGTTCGGTATTTTAACTAAAAGAAAAATGTTATCCCACATCAATTGTTTTACTCACAATAGAGGGCATTAAATTAAAACATAAATTTTTGTGTACTAAAAATAAAAGCACATCAAATTTAAGTTATAGCTAACCTTTGACTACAGCTAACCAATTTTTGTGATTTTTGGTTACTTTTTGTTTACTGCTTTGCAAAATACTGTACTTTATTTCCTCTTAAAGCCTGGCAACACCAGTAAAAGTCGGCACATTGTCTCAGAGTTGCAATCTGTATGATAATTAGCATATTTGTATGATTATTTTGGGCCCTATATGACATACAATAATTTCATAAATATGCCTTACTCCAAAAACAATTGTTAACTATTGAAAAAACAATTTACAATCAATATTTTTATACGTTTTGCCTTTTCGTCAATATTTCATGTTTTTTTCACCGCTAGAGGGCTACTAAATTTTCAGAACTTTTTAGATTAGCTACTATGGTATATTCTCAATTATCAGGTACACCTTTGTCATACTTTTTGAGACCACTAACTGCTATACTTTTAGATCTACTGATAAAATGCCCAAATTGATGTGAAAAAAATTTGTGTGAATAAACATTCTGTTGAAATTCCATTATGCTTCTACTTGTATAAAATGTATTAATGAAGTACATATAGAGTAGTTTCCATCTAATAAACTGTCTAAAACTGAAACTTTTTTGGCATAGGGAGTAACAACCATTTGAGGGGGTACAAAAATTTTAGACATTCAAAAAAATTGAAAAAACTAAGGTATGCACATATAAAATAAATATGGTATATAAAGGATGTGTTACATATTTGTTAATGTTTGATTTGTTGAAATTGTATGAAAAAACATAAATTTTAGCTCATGCCCATTCAGAAGTTTGTTTTGAATCATATATTACAAGGGAGAGTTGTGAAAACTTCACTGTAAAATGAGGTCTAAAATCGTTTTGTTGTAAGAAGGGATTGCAAATAAAAAGTTTACAAGATTTTGACATAGGACAAATCTTGTAAATATTTCTACTGATAAGTATAAAGGATCAAGATGGATGTATGATAATTTTAAGTGAAATACAATAATTTCAAGAGACAGACAGTGATTTTCTCCCATAAGATTGGCAACTCTGCATTGTCTTGAGGTAGGACAAGTGAGAAAAGTCAGAACCCATTTCCATAAGAGAATCAAAACATCATAAGTGACAAAGATTTATCATTTTGTGGGTTCTCAGATGAGGTTCGAACTCAAGTAAACCACGAAATTCTTGTGCAATGCCAGATGTAAACAACAAGACCCGGAACTGTTCAAGTATGAGTATATGTCAAACTATCTGTCAAGATAGTTTGACATATACTCATACTTGTCTATCTGTGCTAGAGTTTGTGTTAGTGGAACACAAACTCTAGCACAAACACTCATAAACAGGTAGATCATTGGCTCACGAGTTTATAAAATGTTGGCCGAGATAAACATTCTTGAACAAAAAAGGAAAATTTTTGATAGATGAAAATGATTGTTAAAATTCTTAGGCATCAAAAAGGGGTATAAACAACAGCCTGAATTACGAGTGCAGGTGTTATCATTTTATAAACAATCACCAGGCAGAGTCAACAAAGAGGTATCAAATAGACACCTCAAATCAGACCTTTCCCACTACCCGAAGAGGTTTCATCTTGCACCTGGAGACAAAGGAGAGACCAATCAGGAAGCGAGGAATGAGACAAGGGACCAATCCAAAATGCGAATAGTGGGAGAAAAACTATAAAAATAGGAATTTCAAGGTTGAAGGACAGTCTCCTCTAGATTAAGCTCATCATGTGTTTTATATAGTGAATTATGTTGTCGCCCAAGACATCTCTGTGACTCTCCGATTATCTCCTACATCCTGCGATCCCATCTTGTCTGCCCCGGGGCTTCGACGGAAAGGAAAATCCCCATCATCCCAAAGGACAAAAAAGAAGTGGAACTGAACTGTCAAATATTGATGTAAGCATAAATGTTACCAAATAAACAGCTTTGTCTTTTGTAAACACTTGTCATCACTTGCTTCCTCCATCACACCCACATACAACCTTCTCTTAAGTTCATCCAAAAGATGACAATCTTATACAGGTGCCAAGGAGTGGGTTTTCAAGTCCCATATCTGCACCGGGTCGACAATCTTACAATTTCACTAATAGTTTTTACACTTCTATAATATCATCTTCAAGTGCAAGAAGAGACTCAGTACATTAAGTATTCTTACCAAAGAAATAGAACAAATTTCAATATTCTTAACAATTTTTTAAAATGTAGAATAAATGAACATCAGTGCACATGGTCCATATCATTTAGTATTACAGAAAGTCATCATATAAGCCTATCTCTAAAAAATAAGCATTGCATACGATATAAAATCATCATCATTTTCCTGCATCAGTCGTTTTTTTTCCCAAGTCCTGCCAAAAACGACAAATCGAGAAACCACTGTATTTATATACTTTATTTATAGTAGACATCAAATGAGTTTGTGCAAAAGAAATAACCACCCTCAAATAGTAACTAGAGAAAATATGCAGTTTAAAATGGTAGCTGTGGCTATTACTCGAATAAAACCAGTATATATAAATTTACTTAATTATAGATCATCATCTAATTTAAAATTAGTAAAGAGAAATACATACATATAGTTATTGTGCAGTTTCTGTCATATGTAGTTAATAACCATTTGATTTTTGTACTGTATTTTCTATATTTAAAGATTGCACTCATACACAAGATGCTTTAAAAAATGTTAACACTTATATGGAGAAGGTGTGCAGTTGTTGCAGCAGGGGTAGTAGATCCATACTTTTTGGAGAACTCAGCAATGACGTTGTGACTTCTTGTACGTGACGGAGAACTAAATAGATGACAATTTACCACTACAAATCTGGCGTAACAAATTACTTCCATATTGGTGTTAACATTTTTTATTTTTGAAGTACACTCCATATATTCATTAAGACTCAAATATAGGAACAAGTGGCACATCCTAGCATTCATACCTAGTCATTTTACAATCCTAATACTTTTAATGTATAATAAGTTACATCAAAAAATTTACTAAAATAACTATCATTGATTCTTTTTACCTCTATGTCTTACTTTTATAAATTTTTGTGTGTATTCTTGTCTATTTGGATTGTTGTTTATTAATAGGACTTATTATATTGGTGTAGTTGTAGTTACAGATAAAAATAAAAATATTTTGTTTTGACTAAGATCTCTATTTGCTAATCAGAAACTACACCAGTATAAAAAGTCCTATTAATAAACAAGATCTAAGTGGACAAGGATACACACACAAACTATATCATCAAGTTTACTAATAGTTTACAAAAATGCTATTGGTCAGAGATTCACAGGAAAAGTTATCATTAGCGGACAACTACAAAGATTTTAGTCTCTATCCTTTATATTAACTGAGCATAAAGTAACTCCTAAAAAATCTCTTTATATAAGCCACAAAAAGTTCACCAAAGGAGACTAAAATACACACAGTAAAAATCAAATTAATTAGATAAAACTGTTGTTATTTCTATTGAAATCTGATAAATCTTTGTAGCATTTTCTTCTACTATAATTACAAAAGTCACATTACTATTCTTTTCATAAATATTTGATGACTACTTTTTCATTTAATACTTATTTAATGAATCTTTATTTCAATTATATAAAATATACCTTACCTTTAGTTGCATAATCAAGATCAATATTTATTGCACTTAACATAACAATGTCATGAAGTTTAAAAATGAGTTTTTCTGTGATCAGATCTTCAGTCATCAAAGGTAAGATGGTTCCATTGAATAAACAAGATGCTGCCTGATTGTTATCAATTAAACGAGCCATCTCTAATACAACATCCATCTATAAAAGAATTTTAATGATTAATAAAACAAAAAAATATAAAATTTACAACCTTATTTCAAAATAAAAACTTGTTGTATAAAAGTATTATTTTAATATTTAAGTATCAATTAATTTATTTATTACTATAGTAGAGTTCTGAGTGTTCAAGGAAATGGGGATTTAGACTACTTTGGATAACCGGAAACACAACTAACACAAAATGTTCGGTAAATCTATACTACGAGGGTCGTTCAATAAGTCCTTAGAAAAAGATAGAAAAACAAATTATTTTTGGTAGATTTTTTTTTATTTTTCAACATAATCTCCTTTAAGCTCTATACACTTTTCCAAGTGTTTCTCCAACTTTTTTAAGCCATCTAAAAAGTAAGATTTCGGAAGGTCCTCAAAATAGGCATTTGTTTGGGCAATGACCATCTCATTTGATGTGAATCGTTGTCCACCAAGCCATTTTTTTAAATTTGGAAATAAAAAAAAGTCACTGGGGGCCAAATCCGGTGAATACGGTGGATGTGGTAATAATTCAAACTTTAATTCCGTGATTTTGGCCATCGAAACTGTACAGGTGTGCACCCGTGCATTGTCTTGATGGAAGAGGATCTTTTTCTTTTTCAAATGAGGATGTTTTTCTTTGATTTCTTTGCTCAACCGGTGCAATAATGATGCATAATACACTCCAGTTATTGTTTTTCCTTTTTCCAAGTAATCGGTGTAGATGATTCTGCGTGTATCCCAAAAAACCGTGGCCATCACCTTCCCGGCCGATTTCACTGTCTTCGCCTTCTTTGGAGCCCTTTTGCCTTCAAAAACCCACTGTTTTGACTGTTCTTTGGTCTCTGGAGTATAGCAGTGTATCCATGTTTCGTCCACAGTTATGTATCGACGTAGAAACTCGTCAGGATTGCGACGAAAAAGTGCCAAAATTGCCTCAGAGTCGACCACACAATTACATTTATTCTCCACTGAGAGCAAACGCGGCACCCATCTTGCCGAGATTTTTTTCACACCCAATTTTTCGTGCAAAATTGAAAACACTGTACCTTGTGATATGCCTGTGGCCTCAACTATTTCACGCACTTTGATTCGTCGATCACTCAAAACCATATCGTGGATTTTGTCAATCATTTCGGAAGTAGTCACCTCCACTTGACGTCCCGAACGATGTTCATCTTTTGTGGATGTACGACCACGTTTGAACTCATTTACCCAATTGTAAACAGTTGCAAACACAGGAGCAGATGTGCCATGAACTTCATCCAACTCAGCTTTGGTCTCTTTTGGTGTTAAGCCTTTTAAATATAAGTGTTTAATCACCGCTCGAAACTCACTTTTTTCCATTTTTCTAAATAAACAAAGGTTTCTTGCTTCAATTGACAATAAAAATTAAACCATATGATGGATATGACTGAGATTTTCACAACTGTCTAGTGAGACATCATGCTTACAAAAAAACGCGCCATTTTTTAGGCTACGAGCGCCATCTATTGGATTTTCTAAGGACTTATTGAACGACCCACGTATTATATAAAGTGAGAACATTTGTTTTTTGTTTGCTAGAGGTAATCTAGAGGTTTTCTTTTATTAACAATAGCTGCATGTGCCCGGCAATGCTCTGGTTTTTGAGGGTAGAAGATTGATGGGGTTGGGTTGGGAGAGGGTAACTAAAACAATTATCTTAGTACCTAAAATGTACTCGTACATTTACTGACCTGAGTGTTTACAATACTGAAACTGCAAAATACAAAAAAGTTGCTTGGGCTACACTTGAGGGAGTGAGCTTTAGTGGGTGGGAACCCCACAGTAATTTTATAGGGTTTTGAAGAATATTCACACCAAATTTGATGGAAATATCATTGGTGCACAAGAATAGTGACACAACTCAAAAAAAAAAATAGTTCTTCCAGAACAGTCATTTAAAAGTTTCTTTATTTCTGCAAGGCTTTGCCATGATCTTGGATTTTTAAAATTTTCAATCTTTTTTGGAACTAAAGATTTGAAAATTTTAAAAATCCAAGATCATGACAAAGCTTTGCACAAATAAATGAAACTTTTAAATGGCTGTTCTGGAAGAACTATTTTTTTGAGTTGTGTCACTATTCTTGTGCACCAACGATATGTTGAATGGTATAGAACCCTTTATCTAACATACATACATGAATAAGTTAAGAGAGGTGGTGATTATAGTGGTTGGGAATACAGATTTTTTTCCCACAGTATTTTTTCTAGTGTCAAAGAATATTCGTGCTAAATTTTGTGAGAATATGTTAAATGATAGAAAGCCCTTTGTTTAACAAATATACATGCATACATTCATATCTTAATTTTTATGTATACAGATATATCATCATAATTTCCTGCAGAGGATGTACAGGTCAACATGGTGAAAAATCAAACTTTTATACTACTATTCATTACTTTTCTCCAAACTTTCCTATCATCAGACAACTTTTTAGCCTGGAGTAAAGTTAAATTCTTTTCCTTTAAGGTCAGCTTGACACTATCAATCTAACTTCATCCAGGATGTCCCTTTGTTTTTCCCCTCTGATTTTAGCTTCAAATACCTATTTGGCTAGTTGCTCTTCTCCCATTCTTTCTAAATGGCCAAACCATCTCAGATTAGCCTCACTTACTCTTGACTGAATATTAGTTGCTTTCAGGTTTTTCTTTACATCAGGGCTTCTTAAACTATGGGTTGCGACCCCATTTGGGGTCGCTTAGCGAAATCTTGGAGTCGTGAGATTTTAATGCAAAATATTGAAAATAATTTGTGAGAGTTTGAAAATGGCACGCTTTGTGCAATAGTTTTCGTGAGTTGCGCTTTGTGTCACTTCTGGTGCAGAGAGACAACAATTCAGCAACACCATAGTGTGAACTAGTGTAGTGTTGTCGCTTTTCAGTGTATTTAGTTGTCTCTGTTCCATTGTAACACAAGAGTGAACCATGGTAGTACACCATTATTGTTTTTGCAAATTTGTATATATCTTTATTTTATATTTTTNTAACTGAAAGAAAAATGTTATCCCACATCAATTGTTTTACTCACAATAGAGGGCATTAAATTAAAACATAAATTTTTGTGTACTAAAAATAAAAGCACATCAAATTTAAGTTATAGCTAACCTTTGACTACAGCTAACCAATTTTTGTGATTTTTGGTTACTTTTTGTTTACTGCTTTGCAAAATACTGTACTTTATTTCCTCTTAAAGCCTGGCAACACCAGTAAAAGTCGGCACATTGTCTCAGAGTTGCAATCTGTATGATAATTAGCATATTTGTATGATTATTTTGGGCCCCATATGACATACAATAATTTCATAAATATGCCTTACTCCAAAAACAATTGTTAACTATTGAAAAAACAATTTACAATCAATATTTTTATACGTTTTGCCTTTTCGTCAATATTTCATGTTTTTTTCACCGCTAGAGGGCTACTAAATTTTCAGAACTTTTTAGATTAGCTACTATGGTATATTCTCAATTATCAGGTACACCTTTGTCATACTTTTTGAGACCACTAACTGCTATACTTTTAGATCTACTGATAAAATGCCCAAATTGATGTGAAAAAAATTTGTGTGAATAAACATTCTGTTGAAATTCCATTATGCTTCTACTTGTATAAAATGTATTAATGAAGTACATATAGAGTAGTTTCCATCTAATAAACTGTCTAAAACTGAAACTTTTTTGGCATAGGGAGTAACAACCATTTGAGGGGGTACAAAAATTTTAGACATTGAAAAAATTTGAAAAAACTAAGGTATGCACATATAAAATAAATATGGTATATAAAGGATGTGTTACATATTTGTTAATGTTTGATTTGTTGAAATTGTATGAAAAAACATAAATTTTAGCTCATGCCCATTCAGAAGTTTGTTTTGAATCATATATTACAAGGGAGAGTTGTGAAAACTTCACTGTAAAATGAAATCTAAAATCGTTTTGTTGTAAGAAGGGATTGCAAATAAAAAGTTTACAAGATTTTGACATAGGACAAATCTTGTAAATATTTCTACTGATAAGTATAAAGGATCAAGATGGATGTATGATAATTTTAAGTGAAATACAATAATTTCAAGAGACAGACAGTGATTTTCTCCCATAAGATTGGCAACTCTGCATTGTCTTGAGGTAGGACAAGTGAGAAAAGTCAGAACCCATTTCCATAAGAGAATCAAAACATCATAAGTGACAAAGATTTATCATTTTGTGGGTTCTCAGATGAGGTTCGAACTCAAGTAAACCACGAAATTCTTGTGCAATGCCAGATGTAAACAACAAGACCCGGAACTGTTCAAGTATGAGTATATGTCAAACTATCTGTCAAGATAGTTTGACATATACTCATACTTGTCTATCTGTGCTAGAGTTTGTGTTAGTGGAACACAAACTCTAGCACAAACACTCATAAACAGGTAGATCATTGGCTCACGAGTTTATAAAATGTTGGCCGAGATAAACATTCTTGAACAAAAAAGGAAAATTTTTGATAGATGAAAATGATTGTTAAAATTCTTAGGCATCAAAAAGGGGTATAAACAACAGCCTGAATTACGAATGCAGGTGTTATCATTTTATAAACAATCACCAGGCAGAGTCAACAAAGAGGTATCAAATAGACACCTCAAATCAGACCTTTCCCACTACCCGAAGAGGTTTCATCTTGCACCTGGAGACAAAGGAGAGACCAATCAGGAAGCGAGGAATGAAACAAGGGACCAATCCAAAATGCGAATAGTGGGAGAAAAACTATAAAAATAGGAATTTCAAGGTCGAAGGACAGTCTCCTCTAGATTAAGCTCATCATGTGTTTTATATAGTGAATTATGTTGTCGCCCAAGACATCTCTGTGACTCTCCGATTATCTCCTACATCCTGCGATCCCATCTCGTCTGCCCCGGGGCTTCGACGGAAAGGAAAATCCCCATCATCCCAAAGGACAAAAAAGAAGTGGAACTGAACTGTCAAATATTGATGTAAGCATAAATGTTACCAAATAAACAGCTTTGTCTTTTGTAAACACTTGTCATCACTTGCTTCCTCCATCACACCCACATACAACCTTCTCTTAAGTTCATCCAAAAGATGACAATCTTATACAGGTGCCAAGGAGTGGGTTTTCAAGTCCCATATCTGCACCGGGTCGACAATCTTACAATTTCACTAACAGTTTTTACACTTCTATAATATCATCTTCAAGTGCAAGAAGAGACTCAGTACATTAAGTATTCTTACCAAAGAAATAGAACAAATTTCAATATTCTTAACAATTTTTTAAAATGTAGAATAAATGAACATCAGTGCACATGGTCCATATCATTTAGTATTACAGAAAGTCATCATATAAGCCTATCTCTAAAAAATAAGCATTGCATACGATATAAAATCATCATCATTTTCCTGCATCAGTCGTTTTTTTTCCCAAGTCCTGCCAAAAACGACAAATCGAGAAACCACTGTATTTATATACTTTATTTATAGTAGACATCAAATGAGTTTGTGCAAAAGAAATAACCACCCTCAAATAGTAACTAGAGAAAATATGCAGTTTAAAATGGTAGCTGTGGCTATTACTCGAATAAAACCAGTATATATAAATTTACTTAATTATAGATCATCATCTAATTTAAAATTAGTAAAGAGAAATACATACATATAGTTATTGTGCAGTTTCTGTCATATGTAGTTAATAACCATTTGATTTTTGTACTGTATTTTCTATATTTAAAGATTGCACTCATACACAAGATGCTTTAAAAAATGTTAACACTTATATGGAGAAGGTGTGCAGTTGTTGCAGCAGGGGTAGTAGATCCATACTTTTTGGAGAACTCAGCAATGACGTTGTGACTTCTTGTACGTGACGGAGAACTAAATAGATGACAATTTACCACTACAAATCTGGCGTAACAAATTACTTCCATATTGGTGTTAACATTTTTTATTTTTGAAGTACACTCCATATATTCATTAAGACTCAAATATAGGAACAAGTGGCACATCCTAGCATTCATACCTAGTCATTTTACAATCCTAATACTTTTAATGTATAATAAGTTACATCAAAAAATTTACTAAAATAACTATCATTGATTCTTTTTACCTCTATGTCTTACTTTTATAAATTTTTGTGTGTATTCTTGTCTATTTGGATTGTTGTTTATTAATAGGACTTATTATATTGGTGTAGTTGTAGTTACAGATAAAAATAAAAATATTTTGTTTTGACTAAGATCTCTATTTGCTAATCAGAAACTACACCAGTATAAAAAGTCCTATTAATAAACAAGATCTAAGTGGACAAGGATACACACACAAACTATATCATCAAGTTTACTAATAGTTTACAAAAATGCTATTGGTCAGAGATTCACAGGAAAAGTTATCATTAGCGGACAACTACAAAGATTTTAGTCTCTATCCTTTATATTAACTGAGCATAAAGTAACTCCTAAAAAATCTCTTTATATAAGCCACAAAAAGTTCACCAAAGGAGACTAAAATACACACAGTAAAAATCAAATTAATTAGATAAAACTGTTGTTATTTCTATTGAAATCTGATAAATCTTTGTAGCATTTTCTTCTACTATAATTACAAAAGTCACATTACTATTCTTTTCATAAATATTTGATGACTACTTTTTCATTTAATACTTATTTAATGAATCTTTATTTCAATTATATAAAATATACCTTACCTTTAGTTGCATAATCAAGATCAATATTTATTGCACTTAACATAACAATGTCATGAAGTTTAAAAATGAGTTTTTCTGTGATCAGATCTTCAGTCATCAAAGGTAAGATGGTTCCATTGAATAAACAAGATGCTGCCTGATTGTTATCAATTAAACGAGCCATCTCTAATACAACATCCATCTATAAAAGAATTTTAATGATTAATAAAACAAAAAAATATAAAATTTACAACCTTATTTCAAAATAAAAACGGCAGAG